TTCAACATATCCAAAAGGCAGGAAGAAAGATAACTGGTAATGTGACTGTCACACACTTGAAAATTCAGGTAATTTAGTAAATGCAAATGTGTATTTCTCTAATCTGTACTTAATTAAAAAGAAATCTTGCAGTGTAAAGATTCTAAAAAGTTCATTTTAAAATATATATTAGATTACTATCTGTCTAGAATCTTTTATGGCGGTATGTGGTCTGTCAAAGGCAATACGATGAAAGGAACAGTAGCCCTGTTTGGAATGCTACTTTCTAGGTTACCATTAGTATTATGGGAAATAAACCAGCTACATAACTGATGCTGACAAATGGGTCAAGTCGAGGTGAGCCTTGTTCCCCTCAGCTCAGTTTACAGCCTCCTTTCACTGACAAAGCAAACTTCCTGTTGAACATCTCCTCTATAGTAAAGTTACTGTCAAACTGTCAGCCAAGCTAACGGACAAAGAGACATGGGGATCTGATAAGGCATTCTTATTTTCCAGGAAATTAAACCAAATAACAATATGTCCGGCCTACTTGACCTCTTATTTTCTTAGTAAACACTTTCCAAATTGCACAATGTAATGAGCATCTTTTGGTACAACTCTTTATGTTTTTCACTTATTTATTTTTTGTAAAGATACATTGAAATTGATGTAAAGATTTCATCAGTTTTGACAGTCTACTTAATAAATCTGGATCCAATCTTTCAAGCCCTTACTAACAGGAGCAGTCACACATAAATCTGTGAATAACTGTAGGCAAGATCCGGCCCTTTATCTTAAAAAAAACTGTTAAAAATGTAAGCTTAAAAATGTACAAATATATTTGTTCTTCCACTTTATAGTTAAACGAAAATACAAAACACCTGGAGTCAGGTGACATAGCATTCTATTTCTCAATAAAATTTTACTATGAAATGTGGTGATTTCTTAATACTGTAGATTTCACAACAAATTAAGGAGTTCAAGAAAACGAAGCAAAAATGACTATTGATTAGGAAAGACCAATTTAAGAACTAGAAGTAGGTTGCTTTGTTAAACAGAAGAAAGGTGGACATGGTAATAGTTCACAAATAATTGAGAGGAGTAAACAAAGAGTGGAAAAAAATTGTTTGGGGATAATATAGGGGTATTGGGATAAAACTGATGTAGGCTATCATGGAATGCCTCCTGTGGGGAGGCTATTCCACAATCTAATGGATTTCCTGTCAGGAAGTGGAGGAAATTCAATAAACACAGGACATTTAGACTGTATTGGCAGGAGAGATGGACTAGATGTGATCTAATATGTATTTTCTCTCTCTAGTTCATGTGATACTTTGACAGCTGTATAGTTTAACAGCTATTTAGTGAAGCAGTTTGCAGAATCAAGCTTATATTCTTTATTAAGGATTATGTTGAAGCCACATTTCAGCTTTAAAATATCAGCTGTCTCTGATGTAGCTCAGTTTAAAAACAAAAAGACGTGTCTAGAATTTAAAGGAGGAAAAATATTACATGGAAATTCCACTGTACTTGCATGGGAAGACATCACCAGCATTATAACTCCCTATGCAAATTAATACTGTATAACCTACAACATCAACAAATAATAATAAACTCCTACATTTAAGTGTAATGGGGCTCTGTAATTGAATATAAACAACTCTGATGAAGAGATTGGGTTGAAATGTTCCATGCCAGATCTCTGACTCAGGCTGAATGTTTTTGGAAACTTTCAGCCAAAAGTTTCAGCCATTTCTGAGAATGAGGCTAGAGAAAAATAAATTGTTTTGCCCATGTTAAAAGATTCTGGTAACCTTCTCTTTGAGAAACTCAAGAGCCCCCATGCTTTGGTGCAGGAACTTGAAATTTGGTCAAAGGGTAGCCTGTCACAGATGTGTCTTTTGCCATCCCTGTTAAATCCACCCATCATTGGGCCAAATTATATGCCTTTGAAAATTTTGCAATTTGTACATGCTCATAAATACATGCTAGAATTTAGTAGCTAAAATTTCCATTCTTGGCATGTTCCTGCTCAGGCCAGCAGGGGGCTGAGCAGGATTATCCCTGCAACTGCAACTTTGGGATGCTGCAGGCTGTTTTGGATTCTGGTCAGGAAATGGAACTGAAAGCCGGGAGACTCTCTCTCCTGAACTCTGAATGCCCTCCCCTACTGATGCCAAGGTGGTGTATAGGGAGTTGCCTGATTTGAATGCAGGGAGACAAGAGCCAAACCTACCAGGAGTAGAGTGGGACAAGGAGTGTGATAAGGAGGAAAGAGACTGGAAGCTGATCGGGGTGGGAGAGTAAGACTGGGTATTGGGATGGTGGTAGATTGGTACTGACTGGACAATGAAACTGGGACCCAGGTTGGAGGAAGGAGAAAGATGAAGGCAAAACAGATCTGATGAGAAACCAGGATGCGGGGGAAGAACTGGGAGTGGCTGCATAAAGAGACTGGGTCAAGGAACAGCAGCAGACTGGTGACAGACTAGATGAGGAGCCAATGGTGACGGGAAACATGGGGAGGGAGGGTGAATGAACGCTGAGGAAAGGGAATAGACTATAACTAATGCCGGACGGAATTTTTCAGCCAAATCTTTTAGTGAAAAATGCAGATTTGGTGTCACAAACAGTCTGCAGACTTGTGTCAGTTTTACCAAATTGTTTAGCTTGGGGAAGGAGGGGACGACAACTAAAAATATTTAAAAAAATTGTTTTGACATTTTTTAAACAAAATGTTTTGATTTTTTTGGTTCAAAACAACTTTGTTTCAAAATTTCATTTTTTTTAAATCAAACGTTTACATATAGTCAAAATCAAAATGAAATTATTTTGTCAAAAGGAAATGTTTTGTTCTGCCTTAAGTGAAATTTATTTTTGATTGTTCGAAAATGCCAGCAAATCAAAAACTAGTTATTCCCATAGCTCTAATTGTGTCCTCCCCAAGAATTAGTTTTAGAAATCAAATACAAAACGCCCTCCAATTCTAATGCTACAGGTCTGAATGCAAGGAGGAGATTCAAAGCCTTAAAGATGTTAATTTTCAACAGCATCAGCATCACGGTCATTCTTCTCCTCTTAATGATTTTTTTTTTATTCACTGTTTACACTGGCACAAACTACAAGTCTGTTTCCTTTTAAATGCTCATTAGGGGTCTCTGGGAGGAAGACTCAAACCACATCACTGATCATAGGCACAAAGTGACACCAAGATCTACAGTACTCTTCTATTTTCAATTCATAGTGCTTCTAATACAAAAGCAGCTGCACTAAGACTTTTTTTTAAGATGGGGGGATATGCCCCTAAAATGAACAGAAATGAAAGCACAGAATTAGTTCAGCTAAAACACTCTGAATGAAGCTACTGGAAAGCTGCAGAATGCCAGCTGAAAAATGCAGAAAGGTATTATGCTAGCAACTATTTTTGTATTCAAGCAGACACTTTTTAAAATGAAATAAATGGTGCTTTGCAATTTTCCTTTTGTTTGGCTAATATTTGTAAAATTAACTTGTAGCTTGGCTGGCTCTCTGGCCTCTTAATCTCTTATGAGGCTGGTCTTACAGAGCATGGATTCACAAGGAAGGGACAAGAGAAACAACTGCAGACGAGTTTTTTGGTCTTACTGAAAAGACACACACTTTATAATAATGCATTCCAAATCCCCACCCAGCCTTCATAAGTCAGAGAAAAGAGAATTCCCAAAATAATCTTCCAAGAGGTCACATGCAGAGTTACCACATATCCATTAGGACTACTTTTTTGTTGTTGTTGTTGTTGGAAAAGTGTGTCATGAACTGTAGTGGAGTATATTTTGATATTACATTATCTCTACAGCAAAAAGAATTTGGGTGTAATCATAGGGATTTAAAGTCAAATTTTCACATTAACTCATAGATTTAGGATTATTTACAAATTAGGATTTCAGATTTGCCCAGGTGATTTCGGATTACTGAAAAAAAAAAAAAACAATGATCTATCAGCATTTTTCATGTAAGAAAATGTCTGTTACAGCCGTTGGAAGTAACAAGCCCTCTAAAATGCCATTTCAGCATATTCTTTCCTATTCCACTTTTGTCTGCAACTATTAAACATCTATGGCAGTTACTAGATCTATAAACACAGTAACGGACCATAAATGTTCCACAAGCACAGTGTCACATTTCTGTGATGCACTTCCTAAAGAGAACGAGATCCCTCCCCACCTCTAAAAGCTATTGAAAGCTATAACCGTGGTCATTAGAACCACTGCAAAGGTAACTAGAACCTGACCAGCAGTACTAGGATCTTTTAAAATGATAGTAGTAATGATACTAGTAGTAATGATACTACTCTATTTTTCTCCACTTAGTTACATCACTCAAACCTGCCACCAAAAGATTTTGTCTCATCAGAATTTCTCATCTCTTATTAAAATAGACTTAGGCCAAGATTTTCTACTGACAGTGATTTAGGAGTGCTCAGATTTGCATGCTCATCTTGCAACACCTTAAAGGGCCCTTACTTTTCAGCGGCTGGATGGGCTCAATGAAAATAATGCCTCTCTATCAAATTGGTCGCCCCAAAATTGAGAGACTAGAGTTCTTTTTGAAATTCTTGGCCTGATTTCTCAAGTCAGAACTTACTGTACCCTGGTAACCATTTCAATCTAAATTCAGGATGAGACATCACAGCACCAAGACTATTTTCCTAAAGTCTGAAATTTATCTTCTTTCTGTCAGCTCTGGTTTAGTATGTTTTTCTTGCTCTTCTGGATTTTGTTAGATTATTTCATACTGTGGATTATGCAATCTTCCTGGAATATCTTTGATACCTAGCAGGTTTTATGGTGCCCATCTTTCACTGATTAGTACATCTAGCTGGCCAGTCCCATCTTGCAACCTTGATCATTTGGAATTTTAGGTTAGTCAATCTATTTTCCTTCTTCATACTTTTTTACTTTGAAGTGAGTAAATTAAAATAGATTTTCTATACGAATATTTGATTTTTCTTTTATATTGCTGATGTTCATTAATCAATTTACCTGACAGGGCATCTTGTGCTTCAAAAAAAGTGCTGAGACCTCCTTTCACATATGCTAGACTCCCCTCATTTTTCTTGTTTGCCTGCTTCTTCAGATTCATGACTGCCATTTTGAGCTGATCAAAACTGAAATTAAGCAAAGAAGAAACACTGTCGTTGATACAATGAAAAGGGATTGATACAATAAAAGTCATGTATTAAAATTTAGCACACAAGACATGGTAATTTACAGTATTTTATCATATCACAGAGTATTAGACAAGGGAGAGATTTATTAGGTTATCTACTACATATTCCTGCCAACGAAGAATTGTTCTTCATGTTACATTTCTAGAGTTCTGAACAATCTAGTTGTCCCAAATGAGGGGCTTCCATCACTTCTCTTAGAAGAGATTTTCCACTATGTAGGTTTCGCAGTCAGGAAGTCTTGCCTGATACTGATCCTAAGTTTTCCCTTTCTAAATTTCACCCTATTGCGCCAAGCTATATCCACTTGCACTGTACCATCCTACATAATTACCTGCTTTTACCTCTTTTCTTCTGTGTACATCTAGCCAAACAATGTACATTTAACTCTTTTAAACTTAATCCCATTCACTTTTTGTTTTTAATTTCCGAAGTCACTCAAAATTTACCAACATCTTCTTGATAATGAGGTCCCGAACTAAATGCAATTTTGCATCAAAGCCTTTGAGAAAAACACATTCCTGTTCCATTCCTTTATGCTTTTGCACATGCAGCCTACTGGGCTTTTTGCTACTATACTGCATTGCATATTCATGTCTAACTAGTTGTCCAGTGTTCTATCTCCGATAGTAGATATATTTCCATATTACTGCTCCTCAGTACTCCTAGATTTTTTATCTGTTTTTGCTTTAATGAAATTTTTAAATCGGAAATTTAGTTTCAACTAGCTTTGATTATTTTCAAAGTATAATATCTGTAATTCATGATTAACCACTACACATATACTATTTGTTGCTTGTATTCAGGGAGAAGTTATCACAAGTTAGGTTACTTAATTAGCCACCATTAGTAAGCATAGAAATACCAAATTATAATTAGAAAAAAGTGTGATTTTTCAAAGATATTTCAAAAAATTTTAAACAATGACTGCTCAAGAAGACAGTGAGGGATGAAAATTAAAAAATCCACCACTGAGGATACACCTAACACAATAGTACCAAAACCTCTGTCAGTTTAAAAGCGTTAGTAAAAGATTTGTTGAAAGAACAAACTAAAAACTAACTAATTTGAGCTCAGTCAGTCAGAAAGTGATCCCCACCTGCTGTGAGACAGGAAAGCGCTGGTGCACTGTGCAAAGGCATTTCCCTTTATACAGGGATGATGTCACAATGTTTTGCTTTATTTCCCGTTTCCATTTGCTGGTCGGAAATCATATTACTCACTGTCTGAAATGGCCTATTTGGTGTACAATAAGAACTTCTTACTAGCAGCACTTTCAGACTGCTGGGCTCAACAAAATCAGTACTGCTCTCTTTTAACTAATGTTTCCCTGTTAGCTGATAAATTAATATGAAGTCTGAAGAGTTTGTTTATACTTGTTATGATGTTCTGTCAGGAAAATAATTTTAGGGTGAAAAAATCTGAATTTCCTTCAAGGAAAAAACATACATGAGCTAACCAAAACATCAAAGTTCCACACATTCAGAGTTCCTGCTACCTGGGGTTAAATAAAGGGTAGGGACATTAAGGATATGCTGTGCTCTTCTGAAAAAAACAACACAACAGCACAAGTAAGGTAAGTGGGGGGCAAAATAATGACACCTAGTAGTTATACAGTGCTTTTCATCAATAAATTTTAAAGCATTTTACAAAACGGGATGAGTATTCTCTCCACTTTAGAGTTGAAGAAACTGAGGTACAGACAGGACAAGGCTAAAATTTTGAAAAACCTTAAATGACATAGCAAGTTACATCCCACTGACTTTCAGTGGGACTTAATCGTCACTTTGGCATTTTTGAAAATTTTATCCTAACTAGCTTGCCCAAGGTTACACAACAAAGTAGTAGCAAAGTTAGGAACAGGCGTCAGGAGTCCCAAACCCCAACCTCGTGCCCCACCATTTCTATGTCAATGAAAGCCTACTCAGTGGAATCTTTTTACATTTTTCTTTCAGTATTAGCTCATGGCATGGATCTGTCCTTGATTATGTCTATCCTTCTTAATTAACTCTTAAATCTTCTAGTTCTCATTTATGTACTTGTTCTATCAAACACACCCCAATAGCTTCCTAGTACTGAATATCTGAAAGTCTGATGTTCTGCTCCACCTGGGTAACGTCTTCTTCGTCCCATGTTTTTGAAATTTCTAGCCTTGGGAAAATAGTTAAAGATCCAGCAGATTCAGAATTATCCTTAATCCACAACTTTGTCTGTTAATCTATAATCACCTCTGAATCATCATCAAATCATATCTATCATTCAAGTCTTCCTTGCTGTTTCTAGTCTGAAAAAATATTTGCATCTTTGCCACTTTAAATTTTCAGTTTTCCTTCACTTTGCCCTACCCTTGTTCCTTGTTTATACTTATGATGAGTTGGTTCAGCAAACATGCAAACAGAAAGTGCTTTCCATTTAAAAATAAATCAATACAAAATAAAGGTGCACTCTGCCCCCATTGCATTGGCTTGAACAGAAATATCTATGAATTATGGCTTCAGTCCAGAGCAATGGACCCAATGCAAAAAACAGCTTAATGGGATAAGCAAATAAAGAAAGCTATACAACAATAATTTGTACTTCACAAGAACGGTTTTGTAGAAAGTTGTGACAAATTATTTTCCAAAGATAGATTCCATGTCTTGAGTTAACATGCCATTTTAATATGAGGTTTCACACATGAATGCATCACTAGGCACTGATCCAACAAAACAATGTGAAACAGTTAAGAAAGTAAGTCTATGTCAAGCTACGTTGTTGTCTATGTAGTTATTTATGTTTTCAACTCATGGACAGCAGCATCTTTCTCAATAGCCACAATTTCAGTATTTTATTCATCGACATACTGTTTTATTGGAGAGTTGATTATGGATTTATTCTGTTGCTTACATTCCAGTTAAATCCTGGTAAACCAAAAGACAGATTCCTGGTCCTGTTAACAGTTCCTGAATGGTAACCACAAAGATCTATTTTAGGGTTCAAGTCTGCAATCTTTACAATGAGTGGTCCGACTGAGTTACTATTCACTGTAAGTAAAGATGCCAGAATCAGGCTCATAGAGCTTAGACAACTAATGAAAAGTCATTTTAGTAATTTTTCCTCCCAACTACTTTTATTTCAAATACACTCTTCTTCTTACACATGTATTGGAACATACTGTTCCCTTGCTATTGGAGCAGCTCTTTTGTCTTATAATTAGAGATCTTTCAGTCATAGTTTCAATTCAGGAGTAAATGAAAAGTATTCTATGCCCATCTAAACAACTGTGTGCTTTTCATTTAAAGTGGTCATAGCCTTCTTGGATCCTGGTAAACTGAACACGTTCTACCACTAAAATGCAAGAGAAAATTACTACACCAAATGAAGTCTTTATTTCAATACCTGGTTTCAAGCTAATATCATTACAAGAATATTAAAGTTCACATTTTTTTAAACAGTGCTCCATCCTCCATTAAATCTACTGTAGTCAAAAATTGCAGAATTGTGCATGTTCAGTTGCTTATGCAAAAGTGTATGTACATAATGTATCCATGTAACTACCATGATCCCATGCCTGACCAAAATTCTATTGAAATCAGGAAAATTTTTCCATTAATTTCAATGGGCTTTGAATTAGGCGGTTATGTGAGCAAGTTCTGTGTACACAATTCTGAAGGTTTACACACAAGCAAAAGCTAGAAGTTGTTCTTCCTAAGCATTATCATGGAGTCATTGGCAAAAATTTCCAAAAATTCACCCCATGAATCTCACTGGAGGGTCCTACCTTTTTCTATTACCGCATTTCACATGCCTGCTGATTAAAAGCCTTACTGATTTGTACTGCATGTCTGTACATCGCCTACCACAATGGGGCCCAAATCGGACTAGGGCCTCTGGACATTACTGCAGTACAAACATTTCTTCCACTACTACCACCATTGATATCTATGATGCTCAGTAACAATACAAATACTGTCGGATGTTTTAAAAACATTGTTATTGTCCACAAACCTTGTTGTTGAATGGTTTTCTATCAAATACCATGCAGCGGAGAAGTTTTCACTAGTGAAATCGGCACTCATCCCAGGAAACAGTGCCTCCAAATCCTTCTGGGGAAATCTGCCTCTGAAAAAGGCAAATAATTTATAAAGTAAAGTGTTTACTGCCAAAAGGTTATAAGAAAAATTACCACATAAAACAACAGCTCATGTTCCATTCTTCAAATCATGACACTAAGTAGTAACAGAATAAAAACACAGAACTGTAACAACCTAACAAAATAAATCTGGTACTAATGGTTCTAGGGTAAACCCAACACATCTAGGAAAGAGGCAATTGAAATTAAAATGGTACATTATTTTTGGATTTTACTAATGTACATGGGAGTAGTAGATTAAAATGGTGCTACACACAACAGCTGCAATTCTAACAGTAAATAGTATCACCATGAACATTCTTTACAACTAAAGGTGTTACTTCCTTTTTTAACTTTAAAATATCTGAATACTATAATTTGCATTTAGAAATCTATGTACATTTGTTGATGCAAATTTTTTTTTCTTGAAAAAGAATGCATACATCAATTTATACGGCCTTTAAAATATTTATGTTTAGTAAAAGGATTACTCAAATTAAATGAAGACTGTGTGCTATGAAGGCAAGCAGAAACTCATCTTCTTATTTCAAACTCTCTCATAATGCAATAAAACGTACAAAATGAATACTTATCAACTAACCCCAGAAAAGTGGGAGCAAAGCTCACCTTTTGCTGTAAGTCTTTTAAGCCCTTTATTTTTTTCAATATCAGTATTTAGATAATACAGTGACTGGTGGTCCCTAAGGGCCTGATCCAACTCCCATTTAAGTCTATGGCAATGTCTCTCTCTCACACCTTGTGTGTGTCCAGTATGTATAAACACACAGTGTAGATATGTATACATGAATGAGTATATACTGCAGATATTCAATCTCACGTTACTTCACGTAGAAAAATAAAGTAGAAAAAAACTTTTTATATTCATTTTAAAATAAATTAAGACTTTTGCTTATACTTACAAAAGTATGGAAAATTCATACGTAATGTTAAAACTTTCAACAGGTAATAAGCACCATAAGACTAAACTGTGTAGCATTAAAAATGGTGAAAGTTGTGAAATTACACTGATCTTTTTAACCCCAAAAAGTGAATTTCTAGACTTGAAGTTTGCACCAGAATCTAACATACTTTAAATGTGGATGGCGGATAGATTTCCCTTTGTATGTGTAAAATAATGTCTTTTGAATTTCATAAAAATCTTTCCATTTCATCCACCATCCACATTTGTTAGAAATGCTCCATTTACTTGATCTTATCTGTATACAAAACATTTTAATTCATTTATTTTCATTTACAAAACAGGGCCAGACTGTCACAAGTTTCAGCCTAAAGGGAACACAGACTCACAAAGTTATGAACCAATGGGAAAAAGAAGTTTCAATATGTCTGATTGGTAGTATAAAAATAATCTGAATTCATGGGTGTATTGTCTAATGCACAATTTATTTATTTTTTAAAAACACAGAAAGTAGAAGGTTAGAAAGAAACTTCCTTTATATTCAGGTTATTTCATTTGAGGGGCTTTTTGTTTAATTTTTAGGGAGGAGGTTAACCTTCCTTTGAAGCATCTGGTACTGGCCACTGCAAATTATAGTATATTGTCCTAGAAAGACCGCAGACCTGATATTACGATTCCCACATTCGTATGAAAAATCGTGAACACTGAGTATCTTTCAAGTTGGCTTAATCTATTAAGAGGTGAATCCTGGACTCTATGTCAACCCAAGTAAAGGAGATTGGTGCAGAGGGATGGAATACTCTCTGTAGGCAGCCAATGAAACAGTAGCAAAATGGCCCCACAACAGCGTTAGGCGACAGTAGCCAAGTCACTATTGCAACTCATCTCCTTCCCCCTGCTCAGTGCATATTTACATCATTTATTCTAAAATCAAATAACTTTAAAATCAAACCCATTTTTCTCCCATTCATAAAAGACATGTTCACAATTTGTCAAAAATTCCCAAATCAAAAAAAAAAAAAAAATCACCGGAGACATTCACCATTCCCAGTTCTCTACTCACAGCTGCATCCAACCATCAGAAACTAATTCAAACTCTGCCAAAAAAATGTAAAAACTGGTGTCGAAAAATGAAGTAATAAATGCAGACACAGAACCTGAAATAAAATCCTCTCTGAGGCGTATGACCTAGACAAACTGCTGCTAGACTGTGCAACACACACTACAAACAAAAAACAAACTTGCAGGACCTTGCACTTAAAATTAAACTGGCAAGACCAAAAGGAAAATTAAGAAGACAGTGAACATACATATTTAATATCTTCTCCAACAGCCTGCTGTATCAACAGCAATGTCACTGGAAATGAAAATTACAATGAGAAAGGTATTTTAAAAACAAACTATTGGTAAACATATTTCAAAGAGGCAAGAGGACTACAAAACCTGCTTCCAGGATGAACTGTTCTAACACATATATTTTAAAAATATGCTGAAAAGCAAAATGCAGATTAAAATGAACTAGTGAATCCAAGATAGGTATTTTTTAAAAGAGTTGAGAATTGCAAAGAAACGAAGTTATCTTTGCTCCACCACACTTTACATCTTGAGGATTATTAACACCAGGAGTTGCAAAGGACACCACCCTTTTGCCCAGAAAATGTTTGCCAGTGGCACCCTCTACTGAATTAAAACAACTAGGATTGTCTAAATTATTTGTTATTATTTAAGTGGTGTGGGGGAGAGAGACAACATGAGAAATGGAAAGAAGGGGGGGGGGGAATAGAGATTGCATACAACATGGTCCAAATTAGTTTTCTCTACCTTTGGTGAAAGAATTATGTGGAGTACAAAAATCCATATGTGCATGCAGTGAGACTCGTTACAGTACTGATAGGATTATGGATTTTGTGGATGTTAATTGTACTGACTGGGAAATGCTGATGGTCAGGTGTACTTGACAGTAGCTCAGTGTTATAAGTCTTCAAACAGGAAGGACACTCCAGGATAAGAATTTTTACAGTGGGATTATCACTGAGTGCCTATTAACCAACAAAATGTACAGGATCATTATAATACAATATAGTGCTCACAAAATACATAAATGTACAGCCCTTGTGGTCAAACAATAATCTAGCTAAAGATTCATCTTTCAATGGCCAAGAAAAAGAGTCAAACTAGACATTCAAGTACTGTATCATCTCTTAATGCATGCATTTAACAACACATAGGGAAAACAGGATTTATTCATGTGCATCAAAGTAGATGCACACCTTCTGAGAGTGTATCAGAGACAGATATCTGACTAAAAATGAACCAAAAAAACCTCTCAGAGACAATACTTATTACTGCAAAATATTATCAACATCTCCCTTTATATCATTCACAAAACCAAACAAACATAGATACTGCTAATATAACTCTTAGCATTTATTTCAATGTACTGTACTCCCTCCAGTTAGTCTGTTCAGGCTTAAAAAAAAAAAACAAGTCCCGCAAATTGGTTTGTACACACAATAATCAAAGAGCCTGAAGAAACTTTAAAAGTTAAGTTGCATTTTAGTTTATTTTAGTGTGACATTTGGCCACTTTCAAAAATTCTAGAGGATTTTTTGTTTGAAATGTTTATTTACTTATTTTGGATTATAAATTAGATACATACATAGACAACACCACACAAATATGGATAAGACATAGACACTACATATACCTCTACTGGGAATGAGATATTTCTTTCTTTCCTAAGTGAGGAAAGTAGCAGTGATGACAGCAGCACATTGTGTGGGGAACATCACATAGGAACATAAAGTGAGATCATGTTGGCACCATATGAAAGCGTCAAACACCATTATGCATCTTATTTACCATTAAATCTATATAAAAAGAGAGACAGTGAGAAATAACTTCAAATGCTTTGGTCATTGGGCAGCTATAATGACATAATTAACATCCACACACCATTGTAGAGGAGATCACTAGGATTGGGCCTGTTGGACTTTGTCATTATAGAAGATGATGGGAGGCGGGTCAACCTTCTTTGATGACCCACAACTTTGATATCTATCAAGGGGGAGAAAATCCCAAAGTCCTTCAATGAAGGTAAGGATTTTGTTATCAAGGCTCTTTATTCCTATTGAAACACCTAATTTGAAAATAGTTTTTTTTTTTTTACACAGTGGTTGGACTACTTGGGTTGAAGTGTTTTAAAAATAAAACCATTACAATTTCACACAGTTTATATTCTAATCTTAACTACAACAAAAGTTAGACTTGGATTTGAGCCATCATCATCATACCCCACTTCCCTCAAGTGTGCTGGAAGCAAGCTCCTAACTTCTCATAGTGCTATACAGGTCCTTGCTCCCTGTTAAAATGTATATTCATACATTCAAGATTGAAAATATGTCAAATACAGTTAATGTCATTTATGCCGCATCTGCCAAGCAATCCCAATGTTATTGCATACTGCAAGAACAATGTCCACCTAATTTTATTCTAATTTCATGTACCTAGGCCCATACAAACTCTTCTTGCAAATTCTGTTACCAAGTTTGTGCATGCACAGACACACAGATTATTATTATCTATAATAACCACAGAAGTCAATCAAGATCAGAGTAGGCTCTCGGTAAATATAACAAGTAACTGTCACTGCCTCTAACTTAAACAAAGACACAACAAGTAAGTGGAACAACAATTGGTGGCAATGCGTACTAATGAACATAGCTAGTCTATTTATACAACTTAATGCTTCTTTGTCATTTTTAGGGGGTTTATTATAAAGATATTTTTTACAAAGTATTAGCTATCCAGTCGTAGATTTTTCAGTGTACATAACAATATAAACCCATTTAGAAACTAAAATCAGGCCCGAAAACTGGATACAGTCACCAAAAGGTAACTTGAACTAGATTCCAGAGGACTTTATAGGTCAAGAGGAGCAACTTAAAATAAACACAGATTCTGAATGTCAACCAGCATAAACAAGCTAAAACTAGAGTTATTGTATGAGCTTGCTCTGTCTGGTATCAGTCAGACTCCTAGAAGCAGGATTTTGTACCAGCTGTACTCTGT